AAAATAATATTTCTAAATTTTGTTGGTATGGTTTGCCAGGGGTGGACCGGGCTGGTATGATTGCGGGCCCTCACAGATATATTGGCCCCATGTGTACAACTGTGTAGTGATTAGTAGTGGTGATTGGACATTGTCATAAAGAAAYTTATGCTGTATAATGATATTCGTGGAATTTTTAGGCCTCTACCTAGGATCGCCCAGGCCGATTTCTTACCCCAGTCWGCCCCTGTGGTTTRCGGACCACCAAACCAACCCAACACTAAAAAAATAACCGTAGATACATGAAATAATCATCTAAGGTTTGTATAACATTTTCTATTCACAAAATCGTCAAACTATTATGACACTCTTTGAGGTATTTAAATGTCTTATAAGCAAAAGAAAATTTTTATTTTTATTAGTTTTCATTAGAATTCAAAAATACTTGAAAATGTAGGTAATATATCATACATGGTTCCTCACAGTCATCATAATTTGTTACTGGAAATTTAAAAAAAAGTTAAGAGTAAATCTACAAGAATAAAAAGTTATAAGACATCTAAAACATAWATTTTAACAATTAATTYAACCTATCACAGTATTGGATACTAATGACTAGTAGTAAAATAAATTACTTTAATCGCAATTATATATTATAATATTTATAATATACCAAGTTACTAGACTGGCTGTCCTCGATCAGAATCGATTTACGTGTACAATGAGTTTGTAGAAAATGTATGAGGAATCTTGTATTTTTCYTTTCTCTACTAAAGGTCAGCCGTGACAATGTGTTAGTTGCAGTCAACTTGTCTTATCATTTCTGAAAAACATTAGTTTAAACGTGATAATTAAAAAAATTAAAAATTAGATACATCTATAAATTAACTTTTAGACTAGGTAATCTATACTAGATATAAATTTGTAAAATAATTTAATTTTATATTTTTATACACTAATTAATAGCTTGATCATTATTATAAAATAATTCCTGTAAAAATTTCAATTTTTTTTTTAAATTTTTATTTTTCTGTGTGAAATGGCAACGTTGTACGTATTTCTATGCTCAATCGTGTTATATTTTGGATTTCTATTGTATAACTGTATCGTCTGTATCTGTGTTCAATTGGATAATGAAAAAGGTAAACTGTTYTCARTCGGGTTCCAGCCGCGTGAGGCCCAGAAAGTGGGCCTTACTCGCCCAGCCCGGCTTTACGTATGTGTAGTATAAATGATTAATATTATTTATGTTCAATATTTATTTTTTATTTTCTAGAAATATCTCTAAAACAAATTTTAATGTTATAAAAATAATATGAGCATCTAAAGACATTTATAACCTAGTAACTTATACCTTAAATCAGTTTTTAAATAAATACACACGTTTATTAGATACGGCCCCAAGGCCCAAATCAATTTTTTTTTTTGTATATACTTTGTTTCTTTCACAACAGTAATAACTAAAAAAAAACACCATTATTTCTCCAACCCAATATTGTGAGTAGTAATTATTCTCAAAAACCATTCCAACCCCCATCTGAATTAAACATTTTTGAGTATGCTACTGATATTCAAATGTAATATTATACATGAATGATATAATTTGTATTCAATAGGAGGAAACAGACAAACAGTGTAACAAAATTTATAATAAAAATTATTTGTATTACTATTATTTTAACAAAAACAAATTAAAATTTGTTATGTAACTTACTATTCATTCTTT